AAGTAGATCATAATGTTGATGGAAACTCGCGGACTGTGCCTACCTGATGAGTCCCAAGAAGGGCGAAACCGGTCGTGGGCTGTCAAAGAGTTTTCAGCAACCTTGTGAGTAGTTTCCTTTATGAGAAAACGTTTTGTTTTCGCTCGCTCAAGTGGAACAAACGGCAATGGTGTTTTTTGCCACCGAGGTCAGTGCTTCATTTCATCAGGGGCTACTTCTGCACTGTCGCACTCAGTCATAGTTTTGTGTCATCTTGTACAGATATGAACCGGCTGGTCAGGTATACCGTACAAGGATACAAACACGTGACTCCAAGAATGGCCACCTCGGAACCAGAAAGTGCGAGTAAAGTTTCCCTGAACGACGCTTCTAGTAATATGGAAAGTCTTCAGCAGTACACCACTCGGGGTTGGTTCACAGTGAGATTATTCGGTCACAAACAGCCGACGGAAAAATTGCTCAACTTGGATACATGTCTTCCTTTTTGAGGTAGTCACTTGAGAGTTCGCCCCGTAAGTGAGACGAAACTATTCTGAAGAGCCGAGAAACACTGTACACATGTTTCGTTCCTAACAGGAATCACCAGCAGTGAGCATCTCACGGTAAACAATGCACTCTTGAATCCGTGACGTCCTCTAGCCGTCCGGCCACGTGCAGCGCGAGTGGTTCGCACTCAGACAGAGCCCAAGTCACGTGGCTCCTACAGTCTCGTGATGTGCGCGCACTGCTGACGATTCCCAATGAGGGTGAGACAGAAAAAGCTGTAAAGTGGTTGCTCTCGGCTTTTCAGCATTGACTGGCTTCACTTACAAGACGAAAACCCCGCTGAAAAGCTGCAAATCTATACACACTACTAACAACAATCATAGGAATCGAGCAGCATAGCCGAAAAGTGATTGATTAGTCTAGCTGTTAGTTGGTCACTTGTTTCCGAATGGTACGGTATTCAACTACTAACTGGAAGGTCACGGGTTCGAATCTTTCTCGAGTTTCTCAAGACGCTGGTTTCCAGCAAGGACAAAACAAATTCAAAGTACTGTCTAGATTTTCAACTTTATGTGCAGAATGGAAGAGAGCTTTGAAACTCTTCACAAGACCTTCAAAGTATCCCTCCTCTCCATATCTAACTTGGGAGACCTCACACGAACATCTCCAGAGTCTCAGAACTATCCAACGGATAACCAGCCTTGATGGGCATTCACTATGTTGGCTTGGAGAAAAAACGAACCAAAATGTGTTGGACATAATGTGTGTGATTTCTCAAATTCAAATCAGTCGTCCCATGTAGCACATACAAGACAGTGCCCATTGTTTCGCTCCAGACAGCCTTATCTCCGCCACCACTATCCTCGGACTGCTAAGACAAGGGTTATGAGCTATTGTCTGAGTTTTAGCTCATCGCTCGGTTACCATGGTGAAACATCGGTCGCGCGTATAGTCTCTCCCCTCCGCACCCCGAAAACCCACCAATTTTCTGTATTTCCGTCTTCTGGGCTCACTCACTCACTCACCCACCCACTCAGAATTCCATCCAAACCACCTGTTCATTGGGGTTGAATGCCCTAGCCCTGATGTTGGCCCATGCTATGGATGGATGGACAAGTCTAGCTCATTGTAACCCACCTACCTGCAATATCAATCCATCACAGCGAAAGGATGAATTCACACATTGCACTAGACACTGTTCCTCCTGTACAACTGCATTGTGCTTTAATCAACCACTTTACTGTCTTAAAATGGGACCCTTTTTTCTGGAAAGACAAGCCTCTCGACGCGTGTAGCCTTCAGTTGAGTCTTACTCAACATCGTTGAAAAAATTTAATGGGTTTTATAATCGTTCAGCTGTGACATCCTTTAAGTGCCTTGCTGCCATGCCACCCGAAGGAACCACGAGGCCTGGGATACCGCAAGGTCGCTCAAGCCTAGAGAAGCGAAGTCGAGACGCAGAGGTCGGGCTCGAACCACGGAACTTCTGGTCAGTAAATTCACGCTCTAACCACTGAGCCATCTCGCTGTATGAGGATGAACTCCCCACTCTGAAGCTGATTTTATTGTAATTCACAGAATCTTTATGTACGAACAAACGTCCTACCATTCTCATAAAGGAGACTACTCACAAGGTTGCTGAGAACCCTTCGACGGCACACGACCAATTTCGCCCTGTGGATCTTTTCCAGAAAAGCCCTGCCAAAAACTTAACCCCCCGCCACCCAAAGAAGATTGAAAAAAGGATATAAAAATTGTATCGGTAGTTTTTGTTGAAGAGGGTGAAGTCGGGAGATGTCATTATTAATTTGCATCAAAAAGTCCGTTTTTCGGTACCTTTCCCCCCAAACGAACTCACACAACCAGCTGTTCAGTAAGATCGGTGTGTGCCACATTGGTGGTTATTCTGCATCTTGTAGACGTGCCAAAAGATCGGTGTCACATTGGTGGTTATTCTGCATCTTGTAGACGTGCCAAAGAGATTCGATGGTTTGTGTGTGAGTTCCAGTCATTGGATCCATCCAGTCTTCCGTATGATAAACCGTTTCATGAGTATAATTCATGTCAAGCATCGTTTCGATTCCTTGGTATGATGCCCACATATCGGAGGTGATGATTGAACCGGGAGCGATGCAGGCCTGGATTGTGTCCATCAAAGTGGGCGCAGTTCGATCTGGCACAGCATACATGAACACCTCTTTGGTTTCCCGGCAGCTCCCTCCAAAAATCCACTGCTGGGGAAGAACTCGTCCTGCGTGGTTTTCACGACGAGATATTAGTGCTTCATCGATCTCGACGTGTAGATCTGGGCCGCGGCCAGGCGCAAACATCGC